GACTTTGTGACGGCACATCACACAACGGGTTGAAGTTCACTGTGGTGCAGAGTACAGAGTTAAACTCGGCGCAGAAAGGCCACCCCTACTATATCCCACTGCTGACAGTGCTCTCTCTCTCTCACACACACACACACACACACCCCACACTGATGAGAACTGTGTCAGCGGTTATTTCATGGTGCATAGAGATTTCTTTTGAAAGACGTCAGATTTGAGCTAGCTGAGAGCTGCCTCTATGGGCTGATGAAAGAGGCTCTACAGAGTTTAAGGTACAAGGATCTTCCGGTCCCATTCAGACGCACCGTGGTTTGGAGATTTCAAACCTGCCGGAAGCAATGAGGGTACTTCTAAACGAGTTCCAGCGCCCTCCAACTTAGGAAGCTGCCTTACAGCACAAAGGTGTCTCTCCTGCGAAGTTATAGCAGTTTGGTCTCAAAAGACACAGTCCAGCTTCTACCCTGGTGGAATCGGGAGATCTTTAGTGCCGTGAATCCTAGAATGATGGAGCTGGAAAGGGCCTCTAAGGCCATGGAGTCCAACCACCTGCTCAGTGGAGGATTCCAAATTAAAGCAGATCTGACTGAGGGTTGTCCAATTTTCTCTTGAAGGCCTCCCGAGATCATTGGTCCCATTGACGTACTACTCTAACAGTTAAGAAGTTTTTCATGATATTCAGCCGAAATCTGGCTACCTGTAACTTGAGCCCGTTGTTGCGTGTTCTGCACTCAAGAACAGATCCGGTCAGAGTTGATCAGAAGCACCCATCGCTCACAAGGGGAGAGTCTGCTCTGTCCATGGAAGGTAATGGGTTCCAGTCCTGGTCTCGTTCCATTGACGTACTATTCTAACAGTTAAGAAGTTTTTCATGATATTCAGCCGAAATCTGGCTACCTGTAACTTGAGCCCGTTGTTGCGTGTTCTGCACTCAAGAACAGATCCGGTCAGAGTTGATCAGAAGCACCCATCGCTCACAAGGGGAGAGTCTGCTCTGTCCATGGAAGGTAATGGGTTCCAGTCCTGGTCTCTCTACACAGGACAGGCAAAGAATCTTTTGTGAAACCCATCGAGAGCTTGTCTGTCGCAGCAGACGGGGAAAGTTTTGACTGATTTTCCTGCCTCATCCATCAAAATCATTTGACTAGCTTTGGGCACTAGATGCTTTACCTTAGACGGGGGGGGGCGCATGTCCTGGGTCAGCCTCAGGCAGGGAAATTTCTTAGGCTAACCTTGCATAAGAGACATTCCCCTCGAGCAGAGGCCACTGTGGCATTTTTATTTCAGAGCCTGGGAAGAGCAAGCACCTCAAAAGCAAGGCTCCTGGGAAGAGAACAGGGGGAAGCAAAGAAAATAACACCAAGAGAAGGAATGTCTGGGAAGAGGAGCTATCCCGTTCTTATGACACAACACGTAAATCCCTGGGTGTATTTTCTGGAAAGGGGCTTACAGGTCCAGATTCTCCCATAACCAGGCCCCACTGGTGGTCCTTTCCTTTCTTGAGCGGCGATTCCGTTAATAGGGAAATTTTTATTCCACTTTTCCCCCCTCTCTGCACCAAGGCTAAGTGGCTCCTCCATGCGAGCTGGTGATAGCGGCAGGGGAGTGATGCTCTGGCGAGGTTTCCGTCTTTTAATGCATTTTCTCCGATGAGCGGGGTCTGGACCACCTCCCAGTTTTGCTCTGGGGAAAAGCTAATTGGTCCGGGTTTTGCCAACACATCACTGCCGAGGTACCTTCGCCCTCTGCGTGTGGGAAGCTGCCAGGGGTGGGGAGATTGGTAGCAAGAACTCCCCCACCCCACCCCTATGTTTGAGGTTGATGCCATGCCCTGAAAACGCTAATATGGACTTGACGCTGGGCTGCTGCAATGAGACGCAGCTATGAAAGGACGACAGCAGGAATAGAAAATTTGAGGCATGTGTTGCTGGACTACGAAACTCATGGTGATCAGATTATGGGAGTTGTAGGGGTTTTTTTTTAAAGCACAGAGTTTACTTGAGTCCTATCTGAAGCCTGTCTCTGCTCCCCAGGGGCAGCTCTGAAACGTTTCCAGGTAGGTGCAATTCCTCCAGGGCGTATGGGGCCGCATCCATCCCGGGGGTTCCCAACACCCAATTTTCAAAGCATAAAAAGCCTCCTGCCTCTTCCGGGGGGAAACTCTTGATGTTTTGGACCCGTCTCAAGCCTATTTTAGGCCTGGGAAGTGGGGGAGAGTGTCCTAAAACTCCCAAATCCAGAGGTTGGGAGTTCGATCCCCCACCGTGCCTCTTTTACAGGATCCGGACCCGATGATCCACAGGGTCCCTTCTAGCTGTGCAGTTTATAGATCAATCTTACGCCTGGACAAATCGAGAAACTGTCCAGTTATCTGGAAAGAAGCAATGGCAACGAGAACTTCAGACTTGGGAAGAGGACACACAGCTCAGGGGCAGAACTCCTCCTTGGTTAGGGGAAAGTCTGATGGCCAATTCCTGACACATCAAGGGAGGGCTACTAAAGCCTATAATTCTGTGAAATCAGTGATATCGCACCACCCAGACAAGGCGGGACGAAACAGACTGGTCTCATGCTCTATTAAAGCAGATGCCTGCATTCATGTTTTCCGTGTTTAGCATTAGGAATCAAACACACCTCTAATTTTCTCCATCATAGGGCAGTCATCATTATTTTGTCTAGTTTCCTTTTCTGGTTACCTCCAAATGCTAGCAGATTAAAGATGCAGAATAGAATCAATGGCGGATTTAACGTGGAGCTTGCCTTCTGGATCGGGGGCCAACAAGATACAGAAGCAGAACATAAATAATCAGATTTTCGGTGGCTTTCAAAGTAAAAGATGGCTTTCCTGCCTTGGGCAGGAGGTTGGACTAGATGACTCTTGGGTAGCTATTCAGCTCTTCATATCAGTGGTTTATGTGATTCTGTGCCTGCCCCCTTGGAACGGAATGCATCATATTCTGCCTTTGGCCGGGATCACAGAATAATCATTGAATAAGTGAGTTGGAAGGAGTCTAAAAAGCCACTGCGTCCAACCCCCCTGCTCAATGCAAGAATACAAATCAAGGCATATCTGTTAAGTGGTTGTCTAAATTTCACTTGAATGCCTCCAGCGTTGGAGCACTGACCAGGTCTTGGATTCCATTGTTGTACTGCTCTAGCAGTTACAAAGTTTTTCCTGATATGGAGCCGAAATCCGGCTTCCGGTCACTTGAGCCCATTCTTGTGTGTCCTGCATTGTGGGATGATCGAGAACAGATCCTGCCCCTCCTCTGGATGACAGCCTTTCAAGCATTTGAAAAATGCTATCTCCTCTTAGTGTTCTCTTCTCAAGGCTAAATAATGCCCAGTTCTTTCAGTCTTTCCTCGCAGGGCTTGGCCCATTTAATGGCCACGGCGCCACGTCCTTCGGCACACTGGGATCTGGAGATTCATGAAAAGCTCAGAATTCTCTGCTACAGATTTCTCATTACAGCAGAGAGCTCCCTCTCTGAACTACAAAACCCAGCATGATGCAGGATGCAGAGAGGGCTGTTAAAGCAGAATCAATCTGCCCCAGCTCTAACATCGATATACCCACACATCAAAAACAACCCAGAATAAACATGGAAACCAAAAAAAGCCCACCTTTCTGGGCTAACACACACCAAGGAAATCTGAGGAATGATGGATCCTTGTTTGATTGAAAACTCAAAGGCGAGAAGTCCTAAACGCTCATTTCCTTGGCAATCGAGCCTCGTTTTACTCAGTGGAAATTCTGAGCAGACAGAACCAGAAGCTATTTGCGCTGCCCGCATTAATACTTGATGAGGCATTACGGACAAAGCGGCAGCAGAAGTGCTTTACACTTGCAACTTCAGTTTCCTTTCGGGTGTTGCAGCGCTGCTTAGTTCCCAAAGCAGCGCGTCACTGCTTTCATACGTCTGTCCTTTCCTTTGCAAACTGACAATCTCATTAACCTACATAACGGGGGAAACTGTGCTATCGTCTGGATAGATCACAGGGTGCATGAATCTCTTCTAAACCACCGGCGCTGTTCTGTATGGAGGAAGCAGATCCGTTTCTCTGTGCCGGAAATGGGGCTGCCCTTAAAACAGAACAGCTGCAAATCAGTTCGCTTTGTATGAGCTTTTCTGGAACGAATCCACCTTTAGTGGTCATGCAACGGATAACGGGCTGCAGGATTCGAGCTCCTCGTCTAGAGCGAGAAAGTCAACGGATCCTACATTCCTGCTAAACTGAGCCGTGTATCCACCAGAGTGAAGGCTCATTTGTCAAACCTGCCGTTTTCTGTCCTGGAATTTTGCTTCCTCTCCTGATCCTGTGTCTTATTGGATGATTTACAGACATTTCTATTTTAATGCCGATTTCCTTCCCCCTTCCCGCCAACACCTAGTTCTGCAACCCCCAGATTGAGGAAGGGGCTGGTGGGATTCAAAAGCTCACCCTTTTTATGGCGCTTTAATAGTCCAATATAGGGGTCATCCAAATGTTTTCAGACGTTACACAAGCACAAGCTTAATTTCTTTTTTTACATTTAGGGAAGAAGTTGTCATGTTCGTAACTTCGGAAAAATAACTGGAGATCGATCGATCCCCTCTTGGAGAACTAAGGAAGGCTGTCAAAAATCACCCTCTCCCTTCCCATGGATGTAAACCTTCCAGCTCGTGACTTATCTCACCAACGCAAGAGTGTGCTCATCATCTCCCACTCCACCACGCACCCACCCAAGTCTTCCTGGCTGATTTCCGACGCTTTTAACGAAACTGGAGAACAGCAGGGGTTCAGGAAGCCTGTTTTCTTCCCGAAACAATGGCATCAAGCGAGGAGGAGAGAAATGATGCATCTGTTGTGGGTTTTTTTTGCTCATCCAGGAAGATTGCCAAGGCCAGGGAAAAAGGGGAGGTGAACCGCCATGAGCTCCCCATTCAGCTGCCCCACACGGGGGGGAGGGGAGAAGAAAGCAAGTGGACGGCGCATGGAGAAGACAAGAAGGACCAAGTTACCTGTAAAACTGGAGCTGCCGTTTGGGACTCCCGTAGCGAGCACTTCCGGCAGCAGAAAGGGAGAGAAAGAAAGACATATTCCACAGATCTCGGTTAAAACATGAAAGACCAAACCAAACCCCAATAGGACTTTATTACACCAGCCAGGGAGTCTGAAGTCTCTGGACAGGCGGTAAAAGTTCAGATTGCTTCTTTACCAAGGACGCGCCTGCAAGGAAAAGTCTTCCCTGCAGCGCCACCCAGTGGGAAAAGAGTGCATTTCAACCAGCATCTCAGCAGCTAGAGCCGCGCTAGATCTGATGAAGTATCCCAGGAGACACACACACACACACAAGTGATGATGGCTTGTTTCAAGACCCTGGACTGTTACAATCCCTCCGATACCACCCAATGCCCCACCTCCAGGGTTCAAAACTCAGTTTTATGGCCTCTACAACTGGCAGGTGGACCATCAGGGAGTGCGATCACTGGGGAGGATGATGGTGGCCGAGTGGGAGGGAAGAGGAAAGGGGGAAAAACAGATAACAGGATGGACAAGACAGAGGGGAGGGGGGTGCAGGAAAAGTCAGCAGAGGTGGACACGGTAGACTTGAGAAGCACCTGAGGGCTGCCTGGGGATCAAACCCCTATTTTGAAGCATGATCTCAACATGAAACTAGGGTTTCATTTACAGCAGTGGTTGCAGAACCCATTAAGTCGTCAACGTGGGTTCTGCTGCATAAATACATAACCGGATCCAGATGCAGGGGAAACGGACATGGGTTTAAAAAATGGTGGCGGAGCGGCGTCATCGGACCCAAAGCATCACTGGCAGACAAGGTGTGTTCGGTGCAAACCGTCAAGTCTCCGGGTTTTGGGGGGGAACATGACGGAGGCCAACAGACGGAGAGGTGTGTGCCTAGATGCGGCATCACAGACCCCAGTGAATCCCTGAGCGAGGGTACACATGGATCAGGGATCCTGGATCGTGCATGGCGGCCTCGGGAGCAGAATCGGGTTTTTTTTTGCATGCAAGACATTGACTAAACTGCTCCCTAGGTTCTCCTTGGGCTGCCGCAGAAACAGGGCTTAAGAGGTGGCCCCGCTGTTGCTTCGGGTAGCAGGGAAACCTGCTTCAAACTCACCTGTAAATCATGCCTGGGGAGCCCGTCTGCCTGCCTGAGAATCTAGCCGGTGAGTCCGTGGTCGATTCCGGATACATGGAGCCAACCTCCAGGGTCCAGCTTGGTTCGATCAACGCTCACTACGGGCAACGGGAGAGAGACAGAGAAGGAAAGAATGAGTCAACACGTTAGTGCCCCTATGATTGTGCAACCCTGAACACCACAGTTTCCAGGTTTTTCTGCACAAGTGTTGGGATCACACCGATAGGTGTTATTTCGCTCAGCGATCCCGGTTCTCACTGGCGTTCGGAAACCCCTTTTTCAAGCATGTTTCTTACGGACCCTTCGCCCTACAAAGGGAGAGGCGACAAAGTTGAGAAAGGAGGTCGAAACCAAGCCCCCACAGGAACGGTTGAGAGAGTGAGATGGGCTTAACTGGGAGAAGATCAAGAAATGATACGATGCTTCTGGGGTTAAGCGTTGGATCAGCTGCTTCCAACTTATGCTGACCTCACGAATGAATGACCTCCAAAAACGTTCTCAGATGGACGGGTCTGCTTAGGTCTTGCAAAAATCAAGTCCATGGCTTCCTTCACAGAGTCAAAACATCTCATGTTCTGCCTTCCTCTCCTTCTCCTGTCTTTCATTTTTTTTCCAGCATTAATGCTTTTCCCAGTGAGTTTTTACATTCTCAGGGTATGTTCCACAGCACAAGAACCTCGGGAGAATTGTTTTACAAGGGTCTTGATCTGATCTAGAACCTGCTTTTTTAAAAAATCTTTCTGTAGGTCCGTGGAGGGGAGGTTTGTAGATACTCTGGACTGCCAGACCTAGATCTAATCCAGCCTGAATGATATCTGGAGGCAAAAAGGGGGAAACTGAGGCTACCCTATTTTGGGCACATCCTGAAAAGGCAGGAGTCCTCTGGAAAAGGCAATAATTGCTGGGAAAGGTGGAAAGCCGCAGGAAAAGAGGAAGGCCCAACATCAGAGGGACGGACTCGTATGTGGTTTGATGCCTGTGCTTCTTTGCTAGAAGAACCGGGACATGACTTCAAAATCCGCAGCTGCTTCAGCTAAAATAACCTTAAAAAGAGCAAACCCTGCTTTCTGCACCTTTCCTGACAGAGAAACACAGATTATAAACTCTTCATCGCTATTTTTAATGGTCAACGACATTAAAAGTTCCCTACACTCAGTAAAACACCACCTCTGAGCAAGGGCTGTGCAAAACCTTTCTTGCTGGGGTGCTAGCTTTCTACTTGCAAGGAAGACAGCTTGCTGATTTGATTGACAGAGAAACACAGATTATAAACTCTTCATCGCTATTTTTAATGGTCAATGACATTAAAAGTTCCCTACACTCAGTAAAACACCACCTCTGAGCAAGGGCTGTGCAAAACCTTTCTTGCTGGGGTGCTAGCTTTCTACTTGCAAGGAAGACAGCTTGCTGATTTGATTGACAGAGAAACACAGATTATAAACTCATCATCGCTATTTTTAATGGTCAATGACATTAAAAGTTCCCTACACTCAGTAAAACCCCACCTCTGAGCAAGCGCTGTGCAAAACCTTTCTTGCTGGGGTGCTAGCTTTCTACTTGCAAGGAAGACAGCTTGCTGATTTGATTGAGAAAAAGCATCCAAAGTTATGACATATATCTGAAGGGCAACCTCAGCTACCACAACACATAATTCTCGGGCTGCAGAAGATATTGACATACCTGTGAATGGACGGTCAGGTCAGAACGGGCTATAATCCCTTAAATACTATGTACTGCTGATCCAGCACAGCTGCTAAATCCCTTGTATCTGCCTCTTTCTTTACGCCAACCTAGTCTCCTCTTTGTTCAAAAACTTTGTTTAAAAAGCTATTTATTTCCAATCATTTTACATCTCTGCTTCCCAAAGACGTTTTCTATCTTCACGAATGGAGACCACGTGAACTGCTGGACAGCTCCGCGGTGTAGGTCTCTGGCTGCAGGGCCAGCGGTTGAGAGTTTGAATCCCCACCTTGCCTCCTTGACAGGGACTGGACTCTTGATAATCCCTAGGGTTCCTTCCAGGTCTGTAGCTCCAAGATTATTATTATTATTATTTAAAATTCCTGGTTTTGCACATGGGTTATGGATATAGCAAGCTGAGAAATATATTTTTTTCAGGTGTGCTTTTTAAAAAATTGTTTCTGATTTTGCAAAATGTACTGTTGTTGTTGTTTTTTTGCAACCTACCCCAACCCCCTCCCCCAAGGCCTCTACCTTGTTCTGTACAAATCGCCCTTTTTTAAAAAAGTGGAACATCACCAAATTATCCAACAAACTACCAAGAATCTTTTGGGCATTTGGAAACAGACAGATTTTATGGGGCACCACCTTTCCCAGGCTTAACAGCCTCTGCCTTCACAGGTGTGCCCTACGTTTCTCAAAACCTGGGACCTGTAGGGTCCACAGCTCTGGAAGAGCTGGTCCTTAAAAATCAAAGATGCTGAGTTGCCGACAAAGCCTTGAATCTGGTTGGGGGAAAAGAAAGGTGCCTGGAAAAATAATGACACCAGAGGCTCATTCCCTTTGGAATTTCACGACCGGGGCACAATCAAGCCATGCAACAGCCACGCCAGTGCAGGGAGAAACCCTCTTAGGTGAGAATGATTGCACATTTTCCCCCCAATAGGATTTTCACTGTGAACATGTCGGGTTTTAATTTGCTTGCATGTTTTCCTGCTTCTAATCTACTTTCCCTCTCTCTTGATCCTGAAGGGACCAGCATGACAAAGTGAGGATAACCCTCCTTGAAGGTGTCCGCTCCTCGTGGCAGACAAAGAGAATACCTGGGCTTCCGTCAGCCCCATATGCCTTGACTCACTTCTTTAAGCCACCTATAAGACAACCACCAGGCGGTGTGTAGGTGGATCAGCGACCCACGAGTGTTGGGTTTTAGGGGCCGAAATCCCTACTGGCGATTTCCTTAAAATAGTCTGCGTGACGATCCCTCAAAACCCCATTTGTGATTCTGACTTCCCTTCCAAGTTCATGAAGTTGCATTTCCCACTTATTTATTTTATTTTCCTTTACTTACATTTTGCCCTTTTTTTGCAACAAAGGAACATAAGGCAGAATAGAGGAATAAATAAATAACCCCTCCACACATACATATATAAATCACAATAAATTCAGAAGTTTTCATTAAAACAGAATTGAACCTAAGGAATATTTAAAAGGCTTTGGGTCTGAAAAGTTAAGACAGATTTAAAAGGCCCGATTTATATTTAAAGAACTACAAATAACAATGCACTGTAGGAAATGTAGAAAGACTTCCCATTATGAGGAATACACTCTCAGTTCTCTGAGCTTCCTCGTTCAGGAGCTTGTTCAAATTGCATTGTTAAACTTCCCCCCCTGTTCTCAGCCTTTTTTTAAAAAAAATTAAAGACATGTTTCTAGACCTCATGGCATCCAAGGGGATGTGCACACACCACACAGAGAAGAAAAATAGTTGGGATCTCTGGCAAGCAAGAGCGCTCACTGTATCCTCCTTGACTCCCCCTCTCTTGTCTCACCATGATCTCTGCACCCTGACTTTACTCATATATACATGGGGCTCCCAGGACGGCATACGCCGATACCCCTCCTTGCCCTTAACAGCCCTTATTCATGGACTACGTCTGACATCTCAGTCTTCCAGAAGCGGCCCCCCGTCCCACCAACCCATCCTATCGATGCAACAACCCTGTGAGGTAGATTACGGGAAAAGACAGATCAGAGGTAGGTAGGCACAAAGATCCAACCTCTGTTGGACCTAGCAGAAAAAGTGAAGATCAATAAATCTTTGGGCTTTTGGACCTCACATCTTGTGGTCGTCCAGCTCTAGAGCCCTGGAAATATCCTGGAAAGGGGATCTCAAATGTTTATGAAGACAGGAAACAAAACATTTTACTCTAAGGACGTTTTGGGGGTGGGGGTGGTATTTTTTTCGTAAATGATTTGTCCAAGGACCAAAGAGGGCAACGTCGACACTCTTGCTCCTGATCGCTTGGCATTATATTCCTTAGGAAAGCTCTCATCCCCACATCCTGGCTCCCGAGGAGCCCCTTCCGAGACAAGCAGGAGCCTCTGCCTCTAAATGAGGAGCCGTAAAAACAAGGGCAGAGAACAGGAGTCCAGATGATGGGTGTTCGGTAACCGGAGGAGAAACCCTGCCAAAACTGGGTGGCTTCAAGGTGACACCACAGGACTGAAAAAAAAAGCGACACAAAACCCTCGTCTCTGAGAAAATGAGAACACACAGAGGAACAAACCGCTCACCAAACCGCTCCTTTCCATCCCTATTCTGACTGGATCCATTGCTGCTTCTAGACGGTGGAACTCCTTCCCACTGGAAGCAGAGCTCCCCCACACCTTGCTGCCCAGCACATACAAACCATCACATCCTGGCATTTCCCCCTCCTGTGTGTTTTTAATTGCGTGCTGTTTTTAACTGAGATGTTTCTGACCGGTTTTGCAAAATTGCATTCTGGTACAACGATCACAGATTTTAATATTTACCACGTTTGCTGTCGTTCTCTGGGGTCAGGTCACTTGCAACTTTTTATGGCACATGAGATGTTCAAAGAGTGGTTGACAATTCCCATCACCCAGTACCGAATGAGGATTTGAACCCAGATCTCTAGAGCCCTTAATCAGGCACTGTCTGCTACAGCTCACTGGCTCTCACATTTTGTCATGTATTGGTTGAAATCCTCCTGCTTAGCATGCTAATGTGCCACTAGAGTAGGCTCATATGACTCAACAGGACTTACAGAGGAGTTGACTCACCAAATCCTCACTGACTCAATGAGCTTACTCTAGTGTGACTTACTAGACGAAACCACAGGATTTCATCCCTTGCATTTCTAATGCTCCTTGTGCTTCGGTCCGATTGTCGACTGCCTTGGGTCCCAGAATTTTGGGAGAAAGGCGAGATATAAATTAAATAAATCAAATTAAATAATACTGGTTAATGAAGCTGAGTCACCACTACAAATCGGAAGGACTTGCAAGAAAAAAAACACCAACTAAGGAGAAAATTTTAGGAAGAAAACTCAGAACAGCAATTATCCCAGTTTTCCGCAACCTGTCCAGTTTACTCAACATTTGCACAAAAAGG